GATTGACTTGAAACTGTAGATTATATTTAATAAACAGGATCTTCAAGTTATTAGACAGACCGGTCAATAAACATGTGTCTCCTAGCTACCTTAACTGGAATCATTAGACTCTTGATGAATTAATTACCAAGTAAAGAGGTAGCTAAATTGACTCTTAGAGAGCTGATATCTGGTCCCTTATTGAAATACACAGACACTGTTAGTTGAGAGTATAGCCGCCAGGTCCAATTAACTAGATTCAATGTTCACTAAGGTTGACATATGCTCCCTTAAAGATCTAAACCTGACAGAAGGGCTTCTGTCTTCTAGATTAAACCAATTCCAATTATTCAGCAGTATATGAATTACCCAGCAGGAATCTCTAAGACTGGTGCTAATGAAATAGGAAAATATATAGCCATACACCACTTAAATTACTGTCAACATCATGCATTTATTCTTTATACAGTCATACATAAGGATTCATAAACTTTTACTAAGCGAACAGTACGGATATGATGTAAAACTGCACGAAGCCCTGTAACTAAATCTAACAATAAGGAGAAATTTATTGAAATGTCATGTAACACTTTCTTCATGCATACATAAATTTTTTTACAAAGATTATTAGCAAAAGAAAATGTCATTTCTCATGTTCAGATAAGTCGGGTTAAAAGACTTCCAACATCAATAAAATATTGTATACACTTCATTTTGCTCTAGTTACAGTTAAAATTATCAAAGATGAGAGTACAAACAGACAGAAAGGAGAGGGGATCAGTTAGGGTTTCCTTGGGAGTTTTAAATATTTGAGCTCTTTTATTTTTTTTAGATCTAGTAGAATGGAAAAACTGTACACAAGTCCATATTCATGAATGAATTAAATATTGCAATACAAAGTAGGAGACAAGTACACATGTAGGCAAGGCTCGGAGCTCAATGCTTTCTTATTAAAATTTCTAGCCAAGCCCATTTTCAGTTGTTCTTGAGGGAAGGATATATGCATGATTTCTTCATAACACAATTTCTGATAGTGAGTGTGAGCAGATTGCTTTTTGGGTATTTCTGTCATTGTGAAATAAGGATAACTAATACTTTGTTTTACCTCAAATAAAAATTTAAGCAAAATGAAAAACACAAAAAGTTCACCAGTTATACCATTATGGTTAGACTTGCTGCTTATGTATTATTTGTGATATGAAACCATGAAATATAATTTGAATTATTGATTTAAGAGTAAAGACCCAGAACTGAAATTTCATAACCCAACTTATATGAGACTAATAATTTAAAGGAACATTCTTCGGATGTGTGTATAATACATACTAACATCTAGGCCAAATAAAAAGAGAACAATAATACTTTGTCATTCAATAAACATCCTTAATAATAACAATAAAAATAGATTCTCATGTGTGGTAATATATAAATTCTATTGTTCTCCTGTCAACTAATAATCATTAAATGAAACAAGTGATTACACTGCAAGAATACTGTGTATATAATCTTTAAGTGGCATTTAGCGATTGGAAAACACATTAATAGAACACAATTTTTATGGGAAACAATCACTGGTTTATTCTAAAAGCACGACGTTTCGACAAGTATCCTCTTATCGTTATCAAGCACAATATTGATAACGATAAGAGGATACTTGTCGAAACGTCGTGCTTTTAGAATAAACCAGTGATTGTTTCCCATAAAAATTGTGTTCTATTAATACTGTGTAAACATGTACTTAAACATATATTAAATAGAAATCCCTAGTTGATTACTGTCTTGAGTCATTCAAAATATTTAAAGTAGCAGAGAATGATGGGGCAATATTTGAAATGGTTTAGAGAAAACTATATCTTGACGACAAATGGTTCGATTAGCAATTATATCCTATGGTACAAATGTAAATCCACCAATATTAAATCATTGACTGATTCGATTCACTAAATAATAATAGATTATTTTCTGGAAAAAAGTCCCATCAAAGCAAACTTGGTCTCAAATGAAAGGTGGGGTCCGTATGATCGCTTGGGGAAAATTAGGGGGGCGGGGTCAAAGGTCAAGGTCGACTAATCAGAAAACAGCAGTCAATATCTCAAAAACTATCAATGTTAGACCCTATATGCGCATCATCAAGATATAGGAACTCTATATCTCCAAGTCGAATAATTTAATGGACTTAAATGCCAGTGCCTAGGCAAAGTTCCACCACTGAAAAAATAACCTATGGGGTTGTCCTAAAATGACCGAGGTAATGTGTTGACGAAACGTTTAACTTAATTCTATTTTATTTTTAAAAATTTAAAGGACCATTAGGTAAGATTATAGTAAGGGAGCCAGGAAAGACATTGTTGGGGGCTTTGGACACATGCTCCTTAATTCACCAATGTAATATTCTCCACATCTACAGTTAATTTAGTAGACACAGCTTTTCGGGAAGGTAGGCTTTGTGAGGTTTGACTTTCCATTAACATTTACTAACTCCTTAGTTGTTGCGCCTTTGGGGAATGTGGTTTCTATGCCTGCTTCTGTTTAAGATGACCTTCTAAATTGGTTGGGGTTGTATGATATTTTGGTTTATCAAGTTTTGAGAGGTTGGATAATGTGGCTTTGGTGAACTTGTTCACCATATGATCTGAATAGTCGTTGTGTTGGGTGAAGACGTCTTTTAGGTGTTTTACTCCCAGATTGAGGGATTCGGGGTCACAAATGGTTTTGGCCTTTTTAGTAAACGTGGTGATAATGGATGCTTTTTATGCATTTTGGTGATTAGATTTGTAGTAGATATATTGGTCCATGTGTTTTAGTTTTCTGTACACTGAGGTGGTGATATTGGAGTTCTCTCTTCTTACCATTACATTAAAGGACAATATTGGTGCCAGTCATTATCACATATGTGATAGAACTGGTTAAACACGTTCCAAACATTATTTTATCACAGAGATCATTGCTATGATAGATGCGTAATCAATGCTTGAACAATCGGAAGTGACGAACACAAAAGGAAAACACGAGTTATCCCTCTATATAACTGACTGAAGTGACAGGTGATAACAGATACAAGGGCGAATTTCTGCCTATTTAAGAAATGGGAGGCTGCTGTTGGTTTCATTTTCCATTTTGAACTTCATTCTTGGATGTTGTTTGTTCAAGTGATTCAGGGGAACGAAATTATCATCTTCTTTTTGTAACATCCATCTTTCTGAACCAGAAAATGATTGAAAAGGAGCGGAAAGAGTGCCTTCTTCTGGTGACATCAGCGGGGATAAAGGATTTCCCATAGGTAAACTATGGATCTGTCCATAATAGTTTTTTCCACATGTGAAATATGTGGATTCAAGTCATCAACTTGATAATGGTATCAACTTGTAGTGATGTATCCAGTGGTGTAGAAAGTTATCAAATATGGGTTTCAAAAACTCTGAAATCAAGGCTTCTTCTCTTGGCACACTGTACGAGAGCAATTCATTGGAGTCCTTAATGAAAATATCACTATGTCTGGAAGATCTAGGATTATCATGAGTATAATAAATCCTACAGATTGTACTTAGTTGAAACTACATCAGCTCCCTTCTCCGAGAGCCGAGCTATATAAAACCTGTCCTAACCCATGGACTAATAGTTAACTAAATTAATGTTGAATGCGGAAGTTAAGGGGTGAAGAATGGGTCGAGGATCTACTAAAGCAGAGTTTTGATGTTATCTGAGGTAAGTTTACATCGGCAGGAAGGATGATATTTGTAGGCTGGAGTTGACTTAAATCGTCAGTTTTGGCCATTTCACCCTGCCCATCACCCACCGTCCTTATCCGGGATTTCTTGTTCTTAAGTTCTAGTGAACCAATAGTGAAACTTTTAACGAAAAAATTAAAGTCGGACACGGAATTCAAATTAACTCATCTCCGGATGTAAAGGGGGTATTCTTAAGGGAGGAAGGAAGGGTCTTGGGTCTTCTTAAGCAGTGTTTTTGATGGTATCTGAGGTTGGTCAACATATGCACGAAAGCTGATCGTTGTACGCAAAAGTCAAATAAATCGTCATTTTGTTCATTTCACCCAATAACTTTTAACGAAAAAATGAATGTTGTACGCAGAAGAATGGGTCGAGGATCTACTAAAGCAGAGTTTTGATGTTATCTGAGGTAAGTTTACATCGGCAGGAAGGATGATATTTGTAGGCTGGAGTTGACTTAAATCGTCAGTTTTGGCCATTTCACCCTGCCCATCACCCACCGTCCTTATCCGGGATTTCTTGTTCTTGAGTTCTAGTGAACCAATAGTGAAACTTTTAATGAAAAAATTAAAGTCGGACACGGAATTCAAATTAACTCATCTCCGGATGTAAAGGGGGTATTCTTAAGGGAGGAAGGAAGGGTCTTGGGTCTTCTTAAGCAGTGTTTTTGATGGTATCTGAGGTTGGTCAACATATGCACGAAAGCTGATCGTTGTACGCAAAAGTCAAATAAATCGTCATTTTGTTCATTTCACCCAATAACTTTTAACGAAAAAATGAATGTTGTACGCAGAAGTCGAATTAACTCCTCTCTTAAGGGGGTGTACTTAAGGGAGGAAGGAAGGATTGGGGGTCTTCTTAAGCAGTGTTTTTGGCGACATCTGAAGTTAGTCGACTTATGCATGAAAGTTGATTCTTTTACGCAAAAGTCAAATTTAAACTCGAAATTACGATGTTTTGTCAGGTCCCCCACCCCCTTGGGAAGGGGACCCGCAACTTAAGAATCAAGGTTCAGAGTTTTGAACACCGCTGTCCACTCATCTAGCATAGTAGAAATTTTGTACGCGATATTGATCTAACATTTATAGTTTTTGAGATATTGACTGGTTTTTTTTCTGATTGGTCGACCCAAAAAGTTTCCCCAAGCGATCATGATAGGTCATTTGAGACCAAGTTTACTTTGATGGGACTTTTTTCCATGAAAACACATCAATCTGTGTTTATTCGGCAGACTATAAATGTTTGAACAATACGCAGTGCGATTATCAACTATAGTGTTTAACTACAACATACCTCATTTTCATAAATTTATCAAATACCCGTCTATTGTGTTCTTCACTTTTCTTGAGTGACTTCTGCCTGTCCCAAAATGGTTGTAATGAAGTACCACTTGATATATCTTTAAATAATCCTAACCAACTCAGGTGTTCAACACCCTGAAATTAAGAAACAAGGTAATAATCAGGCATTTGTCTGCATTTGTTAGATAGCGGAAGCTTGATGTAGATACAATAAAATTATGTAAGTTTATATCACTCTTTATAAATATACCTCACAGCTCTGTTTATTTGTCAGTCACACATTTATAAATGATTTATTAAGAGGTCAGGCAAAGAAAAATATCCCGGTTCTTGGTTCTTGATGAAATGGACAGGCTACAACTGCCCCTAAAGCAATTCAGATGTCCTTATCAATTTAGTAGCTTTAGTTGATGATAGTACAATGTAGATGAATGGCAAGCTCCAAAAATATTATCCATAATATACCTTAATAAATAGCCTTTTATATTTGGTTAATGATTCTACAGGGCCATTAAATACGGCACTAGAAAGTATTTAAAAGACCATAAGGTTAAATTTCATATTCCCGAAGGCTTCATAATCTTCCTCCTGTTGACTTAAACTAAACTATAACACATACTTATGGAAGAACAATTACTGATATATTTGGGCGACGTTTCGTAGACTATTCTTTCAATGTTTTCATGAAATCACCATTGAAGAAAACTTTGAAAGAATACTCTTCGAAACGTAACCCAAATACATGTATATCAGTAATCATTCTTCCATAAGTATATGTTATATGTTATAGTTCAAGTTAGTAAATGCCTCTAAAAGGAATGCTGAGAAGCTGTGTCATGTTTTAGGTACTTGTAAGTTAATTTACAAGTGATTTGCTTAAGGATGAAGATTTCTAGGAGTATTTTGGCATTTGTGGATGTGTTTTAGCAATTATAAAATGCTAAATATCTTTTTAAATGGTAATATCTTGACAACTAATTAATCTAAACATCAAATTTTGACAAATAATCATTTGGAAGATAGGGATTGAATAAACAGAATAAAACACACGGTATAATCAAATAGAATTGGCATTTTGCTTTCAGACTATGTCCCTTCAACATTTAATTTTCTAATATCTGGATGTCAACTGTAAATAACAAACAGAACAAAAATTCTACCTCTAATTTGGTTTTAAAGTTATCTATTTTTTCCCTCATTTCATTAACATCAGCAGGTAAATCACCCCCATCAGTAAATACCTTTTGTTCCAAGGCTTGTAATCTGAAAATAAAGTAACTTTAGAAGGATATAATGCCAAGAAATGTCAATACATAATAATGTTTCACTAATTAAGTGTGGTTGGGGTCCAGTCTGAGAACCACGGTTTTGATATTCATGGGATAAATCCTAAAGTACAGATTGAAGACTGTGATTCCTTTTATACACCCGTCTCACACACCCGTCTCTGTACTGCCAGTCCTACTAACGACCAATAAGGGCATTTCTTTTGTCAATAGCGCAAAGAGTACTGCAAGAAGTGACCAAAAAGGAAAGATATGGATGGTTGAAATATTAAACAAAAAATGCTAATCACTGACAAGCATGTTTTTTGGTCATTTTCACTTATCCATAATTTTTTCCATGTTTTTAAAAATTATTTAAACTTTGGATATGATGTGTAGAATATGCAAATCCATAAAATATCTTTCCTTGTTGCAATACTGTGGGCAATATTGTCAAAAACTAGTGGCTGCCAGGCAGGATACGCCCACATTTTGCAAGAGATGGATAGAAAACAAGCTAAAACAAAAAGTGATTTTTCGTGCAATCAAGGGCCATAATTCAGGAAGTTACGATCGATATGCGCAAATATTGACAGGAACCAAGATCTTTGGGTTATAAAGATATATTTCAAGTTTCATCAAAATCGGATCAAAATTGTGACTTCTAGAGGGTCCACAACCTTGATATACCATATATTTACACTATTTGCCTTTGAGAGGCGGCCATTTTGTCCGGCAGTTTTGGTCTGATTTTCATAAAATTCGAACTCAGCCGTCATTAGGGTGAAATATTCAATGTTTTTTTCAATCGGATAAAAATTTTGACCTCTACAGAGACCACAAGCTAAAATCATAATTTTTCGTACAATCATGGGCCATAATTCAGGAAGTTACAATCTGATATGAACGAATATCAAAAGAAACCAAGATCTTTGGGTTATAAACATGTATTTTAAGTTTCATCAAAATCGGATCAAAATTCTGACCTCTAGAGGGTTCACAACCTTGATATACCATATTTTTTACACTATTTGCATACGAGAGGTGGCCATTTTGTCCGGCAGTTTTGGTCCGATTTTCATGAAATTCGAACTGAAGTGTCATTTCAGTGTAACAGTGATATATTCAATCGTTTGTTTAAATCGGATAATAATTGTGACCTCTAGAGGGACCACAAGCTAAAAACGTGATTTTAGGCCATAATATCTAAAGGAACCAAGATCTTTGGGTCATAAACATGCATTTCAAGTTTCATCAATCAGGGGCCATAATCCATGAAGTTATGGTCCGATATATGCCAATATCGAAAGGAACCGAGATCTTTGGGAGATAGACCTATATTTTAAGTTTCGTCAAAATCAAATAAAAATTGTGACCTGCAGTGTGTCCACAAACATCCGGACAGGGGCGACAACAATATACGTCCACATGAAAATGTGGGCATATAAAAACGGTCTTGTCATATCCATATACTGCAAGATAAATGTGATGTCAACAAACTCAATACTACACTGATATAAACAATGTCATCAAATTCAAGCACTTTACAGTAATTCTAGGTGAAACAGGACTCTGTGTAAAGGGTAGTAAAATGACTGAATCAATTAAACATACATTATGCAAGAGCAAAATCTGATTATTGCAAGTCTTCATTTAGGCTTCAGATGTTATAGAAATCATAAATTAGATCTTTATTTAAACAACAAGCCCAAAATCAACTCTGTAGACCCACGGATGGCTCGGCTACAGCTCGGATTTAAATAGGATTTCACTCATTGATAAATTCAAATATGGCGCACCCTGATGAGAATACGTCAGTTAGATCGAGGCTAAATGATAGAGTGTACTTAGCGAGGCCGCTGTAGAGCGTTTCTGCATGCCATTGAAAACTTTACTTGATAATCGAGATATGTAGGTGGAGTTAACGCCTGTCAATCAAACGATCGACCAAGGTGAAGGCACATTTCACTACCATTTCTAGTCAAATATTACAACGATGATACCTATGTTCAGAATAAAGTAATTTGACTGAAATTTTCAATATATTCTTCTTTCATTATCTACTTTTGAACTGTTATAGCAAGAATGGTCAACTCTCTATAAAAATCTCCCATAATGTATCTTTAACTCAATACATTCAGAGCCTGACAAAAACCTACACTGTACACATAGAGAGCACATCTTTCCCATTTGCATCTTCATGAACATGTCCCATTTGTTCATAAATTTATCTAACAATAGCAACATAATTGCATTAGTATGGAATCGACTAAGAAATTCCATTACTGTTATGACTATGATTTCTAGGATTTTAAAGAACTGCTGTAAAAATGGGACTTTTAACTTTTTCTTACAGTGTGACTGCATTCCACATGAATAACATTCTGTGCATGGCCAGTGCATATCAAATATATAATTGTGAATTTGGACAAGAAAGATCATCTCATCATCTGCAATTTTGGGCTGATCATCTATTGAGGAACATGAGATAAGTAGTCCAGGCAAGACAATATAAGTGCGGGCAGTTGCTGCAATAGAAATGCCGACCACGGTTTATGGTCGCTCTAGACCTATATTATCACCCAAAAAAGTCCCAGTCCGAAATCCATGTCCAAATGCATCAAATTGGCCAAAATCCAAAATGGCCACCAGTTTTGGATTGTCAATTACAATTTTCACCCAATTATCATAATGTGATGGAGTTTGGTATCAAAATATGTGTTTTCAGGGTAGCCAAATCCATTTTCATACAGGGGCTGGATGACCAAATGGTTAGCGCCTGCGCATTGCATCATAAGATAAGGTCTGTCTTTGAGTCAACTGGCATGGTTTCGGCCAGTTTGGGCGGTAAAATTCAAATCTTACAGATGGATCAAGCTTGGTGTCAAATTATACTGATACTGAGTAGAACTCACAGAAACTATTTTGTCGGCATTCCATGACAGGACAAATAGATGTCAATAATTCTTTAATCTAGCTGTATTTAACCAATCAACAGCGAGGCTGGTGTGCCTAAATAGATGACAGTCATCTAACATTTTTATAAAGCATTTAGCAATGAAATTATTCATCCCTCTGTGTAACCTACATGTAAGCGAAAAAATGCTAATTGTTAAAGTAGCTAAGTCTGATGGGCTTCTGATATCCAATATTTAAGACAAAATAAACATTTTACCATTGGTACACGAATCGTGTACCATAATGCGTTTCAGCCCCACTTCTAGCAAGAGACTCGGGGAACAAGGCTAGACACATTGCACCAAATCAAACGGCGTATGTAGATTGGAATAACCAGACGCTAGAAATTTGAATTCAATTTGAGACTGCTGGCTTATTTCGTGGAACATAACTGATTTGAAATTAGAGTAAAAACGGAAACCATTGAATGTAAATCAGTTTACATACATTCATATTACAGTATTATATGCGTTGCGACCCACTTCTGTCCATTTCTAGGTCCCAAATGTTAGCGATTTAGCTCCTTTAAACTTAGGTAAGATATTGATGTAATGAAACTGCAAACCAAGAGTTGTTCTGTCCTAAATTCTCAGCCATTGAAATTACTCATCTTTGAACCTAGTCAAAACATTTACCTAATAAACAACTGGACCAAGTTTAAACTTAGGTAAGATATTGATGTAATGAAACTGCAAACCAAGAGTTGTTCTGTCCTAAATTCTCAGCCATTGAAATTACTTATCTCTGATTAGCTCTACTCATCTTTGAACCTAGTCAACACATTTACCTAATAAACAACTGGACCAAGTTTGAACATTCAAGATAAAAGGGCGGATGGCGGGGTACAATAAGAGAATTAAAAAAAAAGGTGCACAAATGCAAATAAATACTTAAAAATATAGTTGCTAAAGGCTCATTTTGTTTTAACACTGATCACTGCCAATGTATACTCAGGACCTCGGTCAAGGGGAAAGCAAGTTGGAAATCCTGATGAACTTTCTCGGCCAATGCAGGGATCGAACATGCAACTTCCAGGCTAGCAAGCCAGCATCTTACCCACTTAGCAATCGTGGCTCCCCACCGTATATATTACATAGCTACATGTATTAATGTTATTTGAACCAAAAGTGTCTGCATTATTCTATGAAAACATGCCATGTAAAAAAAAAACAATACTCCACAAATACGAACTTCTGCACCAGGGACCATCTAGGACTCAGCCCATCCTCTTCCATAGCTTTACAAACTTTTTCAATATTAGTTCCATGGCAGTAATTTGCGACATTCCACATGTTAATCATCACCAAGCTCGAAAACACGACCATCATTTCCCAGTTTAGCCGCCTTATTAAGGCATCCATTATTTTCGGAATGACAGTGGGCAGTTCATTATCAAATGGTTCACTTCATATCGGGATCCATCTGTGTCTCATCATTTGAATCATTTTGTGAAATAAATCATGCGCTGTGTGCTTCAATTGGTTTGGACATCTTGGCTCAGCTTTCAAGGTTGGTGACCAAAATCAGACACACCCACACGACGCTGTGCCCACAACAATTAGCTGTAATTGAGATCAGTGTGGTAGGCCAGAGTCCAAATGAAAAAAAGTCAATACTTGATAATGCCATCCTATTAGAACTGAGGCAGACTCAAGTATCCTTAATCCCCTATAATCTCTAATGGGATTTCCTCCTACATGTATATTGACCTAGTGGAACCAATCAATCACCAAAATGAGAAAATGTGTCGAAAATGGAATCCGCTACCTTAAAAATATGATCAATTTGTATAATTCGAATTTTCCAGCCAAAACTGACTGCCATCTTGAATTATTCCCAATATTTACTCTGCGCTATAACTTATCACCAAAATTTGTATGGAAAAGGATTCAGTGACACTGAAAGGATTTTTTTTGATACCAAACTCTACCATATATTATTAATTGCATTAAAATTGACATTTTCCAGTCAAAATTGGTGGCCATTTTGGATTTTAACCTATTTGGACACAGATTTCAGAATGGGACATTTTTCTGGGATTAATATAATAGGTCTAGACTGACCATCTTGGTTGGCATTTCTATTGCAGTAACTGCCTGAGATGATGCAGAATGGAGTATGAAATGTCTGGACTAGAGTGGAAGGTGGTTACATACCTGTTTTCTATTGCACTCATGTCAAATCCTAATCTTGCTGCAAATGCGGCTGTGTCCACTTTATCTAGAATAGACAAATTAGATAAATAAACATTCATTTATACCTTCTTGATACCTTTTTGCAAAAAAGTCCAGAATGTCTCCAAGAAAGAGAGAGAAAGAGAAATGGGGTTTAATGTCCACTCGACACAAACTAGGTCATTTCGGGCCTAACATATGGTTCAATTTTATTTCAATAGTTCGCTTGTGTGTAGAGGTCTTTAGCAGTGGAAAGGAAAACGGAGGACCTGGAGAAAACCTACGAGGTTGGACAGGTGACCCTACTCCTTGTCATGTACAACCGGGGAATCGAAACCACACCAGTTGACTCAATGACGGACAATACAACGTGCACGCCCTAACAATTCGGCCATCCATCCAGCTGTCTCCAAGAGACAAAACAGATAACAGGAGTATTAATTAGTAAGAAACGGAACTTCTTAAGATTAAATCAACTTAATGGATTTACATTCCTGGTATTAATTAGAAATCAGCTTTCGGAGACCATAAAGAACTAATTGAAGGGAATTCAATCACACCAGCTAACATTTACAAATACTGCAAGTGAGCAGAAAGTAGAATGTTAAACCCCATTTCATTTCATTTACACGTAGTGAGAGCTACATGTTCTTACAATATGAAATGTTGGCCAATATTAACTAACAAAATACAATATACCAGGTTTCTAATGATTGATTATCTATGTTAATTTATTAAAATAGCCATTAATAGAATAGATTCTACTACAATCTGCTCAATATAATGTATCTATCTGTACATGCTGCTTTTTGCTGCCTCATGTATCATCAATGAAATTACTAATTGGTTTTCATAAGGAGAATTTGGAGCTTTAGAAAGCCTCTGGCACTTCATCAAGAGTCTGTAATGATGTTAAAGACAGCATGCTTTCAAGTCAGTTTGGACAGCCTATACTGCAACCTCCTCCATATATGATTTGATGAAAATAGACAAGGTTCTAAAGGCTGCCCTAAAAACAGAATATATTTGCACAATCAGGATTTGGATGGCTATCATTACATTTAGTATGTGCATATCTAAAATCTTTTTTTTTTGTTGCTAATATTACTTTAATAACCACCAACTTCAAGGAGCCATTCCAGTTATATTTTAGTGAATAAAACTTGATTAGAAACACTACCCTACTCCTGTGCAACTACATGTACCTCAAGATCTCTGATACTTTGTCAAAGAAATACAAACTCCATGTGAGATTGTTCTATGTAAGGTTCAACATTTCCACTCTAGTGATTGGATAACCATGTCTATATTTCCAAAATTGTAATTGAACAATGAAATTCCATCAATTGGTTACATATCAACCAGCACGATATTTTCATTTAACCAGGCAAGATGCGCCCACATTTTGCTAGAGATAGAGAACAACTAAAAACAAAAGCGTTTTTTTGTACAATCAGGAGCCATAATCCAGAAAGTTATGGTCTGAAATGCGCAAATACCAAAACGGACCGAGATCTTTGGGATATAAAGATATATCTTAAGTTTCATCAAAATCAGATATAAAATTATGACCTCTAGAGAGTCCACAAACTTTGTATTACATACTTTTATACAATTTGTGCACAAAGAGCAACCATTTTGTCGCGCAGTTTAGTTCCGATTTTTGCGAAATTCGAATTGAACCTTCATTATGGTGGAATGGTGATACATTTAAACGGTTTTAAAAATCAGATAAAAATTGTGAACTTTCGAGAATCCAGAAGCTAAAAAATATGATTTTTTGTACAATCTGGGGCATAATCTAGGAAGTTACATTCTGATATGCGCGAATATAGAAAGGAACCAAAATCTTTGGGTTATAAACATACATTTTAAGTTTCATCAAAATCAGATCAAAATTGTTGCCTTTGCCTCTAGAGGGTCCAGAACCTTGTTATACCATATGTTTACATTATTTGCGTACAAGGGGCGGCCATTTTGTACGGCAGTTTTGGTCCGATTTTCACGAAATTCGAATATCAAAAGGAACCAAGATCTTTGGCTTATAAACAGGCATATCAAGTTTCATTAAAATCAGAAGAAAATTGTCACCTCTAGACTGTCCACAAGCTAAAAATGTGAGTTTTCAAAAAATCAGGGGCCACAATCCATGAAGTTATGGTCCGATACATGCCAATATCGAAAGGAATCGAAATCTTTGGAAGATGGACCTATATTTCAAGTTTCGTCAAATCTGATAAAAAATGTGAACTGTAGAGTGTCCACAAACAAATTGTGGACAGACGGACAAGGACGACGGCATAATACGTCCACATGAAAATGTGGGGGTATAAAAATTTAAGACAGGCAATTTGGCTATTTCTCCAGATTTGATTTGCACCCTTATGGAAATATATCTAACCCAACGACTTATCAATGGATAGCCTATACACTTTTAAATCTGGGACTGGTTATATTCTCACAATTATAGGTATGTAAATCATAAAGCGAAACTTTTAAATAGAAGTAAGTAAAGTACTAAAGCAACAAATTTTTATGGTAAATTAGTCTGCCTTTATTGTTTGTATAGCAGTTAGGTGAATGTCAGCACTATCTCATCTAACAGACAATATTGATGCTAAGAGCTTTCTGTCTGATAAAATATTGGCTAAACAAATTGATTTTAGAAATAGGAAATTAAATATCCGCAGGACTGTAAATCCCATTTCTTTCCAGGGGATTATTTTTAATGTACGGTACAAATATATGAGGCTCTTTTAAAGGTATAAATGGCACACTGAGTTATAGTTACTTATTGTAATATTTGAGATCCTCCAATAAACTGATTGACCTCTCTCAATTCAGACATAAGAACTCTCTACCTCAGCAACTATGATGGACACCCCTATGATTTCAAAACATACAGTCTGTACAAACTGTTAACATTTTGAAGCATGCCTTTTCGCAGAAGCAGTCCAGCATAATTTTATTTTAGAAATAATTAATTATCAAATATCATTGCATGTTTACACCTATTGTAGCATATCTAAGAAATATTTAAAATTTTCAAAAAAAAAGAGAAAGGTTGTATCTAATAATTTTTCATAAAAGTAAACATATACATACAAAATTTGATGTCGACCAATTTGATGGTCCTTTCAGCTTAAACAATTATTATATAATTCAACTCTCAACAGCTATATAACTTGTAAAAGCAAAAGGAAAATAAAACTAGTCATGCCTACCATGTGAAATGTTAATAGAATAGCAATTATGAACCAAAAGATGCTGCTGTTTATTACAATTTTAACATCCAATATATTATACATGACAGGACGGTAAATTTGTAATAAACAACAACAAATTGCTAACAAATCTGTCCAATAACAAAGCCCTAAAATATTGAAGGCTGACGATTCTGACTGGTTTAATGTGAGTATGTTAGATAATGAGGTCTGCCAATGAGTCAAAAGGCGTGATTTCGATTCCTCCCACTACTACATAGCCCTAAGCTCAAGCTAATTTTTGAAATAAAATTGAACCATGTTTGATCCAAAATGACCTAGTTTGTGTCAAGTGGACGTTAATCATTCATTTACCACTACTGTACATACAAAAGAAGGCACAATGTTTTATTCTTGACCATTCAACACTATGTAGTTGCTTTGTAAATATAACTGTGTTTCTTAGTAACTTTGAAGGACTGTGTTTCCAAGACACAATTGACCAGGTCGTTAGAAGTAATTTCGAAAACATCAATATTTTATATTATACAGACTATCAATAGTGTATTTATAGAGTTTTATTATTCGTAACATGTCCTTCACTGTAGACGTTATACAGATATTTATAATAACCAGTATTCAGGTGAATTCTATTCACCAAGAATATATAAAGGAAATTGTGTACATAAATGAGCTTTTGCAAAAAAAAAAATCTTTGAGCCTTTGTTATCAATTCCAAACAGGTGTGAGAAATTAGAAAACAATTAGTCTTAAACAATAAGCTGATCAAAATCAATACTAAATAATTCCATAGTGAACATTAACAAACTAAATCTGTACAAAATGAACAATGATTAAACTGGACCAGTTATCTGTTTTCTAATATAGATAACTTCTACAAATGTGATGCGTCAAAGGCTAATAAACATTTTCCTTGTTTATATTTACATGTACGGTCGGAAATGTGTTCTTTAGATACTAATTACAACAATTAAATATAAAAAAGTAGGTTAGATGTCATCTTTGACATATTTATGAATAGGAATTATCCTTCCATTATTAACTAGCGAGTATACAAAAAAGGTGAAGTGAAATCTATAGAAAGTACAAATTTGAATCAACTTTATATATTATTTGACTGATTGATTTTTGGACAATTAAACTTTATGACAAGACTAGATTTAATTGTGTATGGTTTGAAGGTTTTTATTTGCCTTTAGGTCTGAAAGAAATTGACATTAATGCATGTCTAAAAAATGATATCTTAGATCAATATACATGTATGTATTAATAAATCTGGTTTACTCCTGCAACTAACTGCCAAAGCTCAGTGATAATTTTTCGATGAAATACAAGTGTTCAGTTTTCAGGTGGGATTCGCAATGTTTCCAAACACAATTAACCATGTGCTGTACATGCACCATTGCATCAAAAAATAGTCTTGTGTGTTAGAATTTAACTTCTTATCAATACAAAGCTTTTGTCAAAATGTTTTTGCGCTACGGTCGCGCGTAATGGGGAGGACAATTTGCCAGAAAACCAATATTTCCCACTATTCTTCATCAAATTCCAAATGCCAAAGGATATTTTACGTGCAATCTAGTGAACACACCGGTAAGCCTAACGTTTTTCTATTTTTTGTAACCACAACGACTAGGCAACATTTTCCTTGTCGGCCCCATAGGCACTATACCTCTTAGAAGTGGTGACAAGGGTTGAAAAATCCTCAACAATCCATGAAGTTGCAGTCCGATACATGCCAATTTGGAAAGAAACCAAGATCTTTGGGAGATAAACAGAAGTTTTCGTGGAAGTCTGTAAGGCTGTACGGAGGCAACTACAATATACAACACATTTCAATGTGGGCATATAAAAAGCAATTTTTCGTACAATCAGGGGCCATAATTCAGGATGTTACAGTCCGACATGTGTCAATATCAAAAGGAACCTAGATCTTTGGGATATAAATATATATTTTAAGTTTCATTAAAATTGTGATCTATTACATGCTTATTATAATATTTGCATAAAGGGGATCAGCCATTTTGTTAGACTGTCTCGGTTTGATTTTCACAAAATTCGAACTCAGCCATAATTATGATTTAACAGTGAAATTTTTGAATGGTTTTAAAAATCAAATTGTGACCTCTAGAGGGTGCACATGCTAAAAACCCAATTAGAACCAAAGTTATTGTGTTCCAAAGTTTCAACCAATCAAATTGCTTAATCTCTAGGCTTAGCCTATGCTCATCTTCAAACTGCATTAAAGCAATTGCCTAAAAAACACCTGCACCGAGTTTGAACATTTTAGCTCAATTAGAAGGAGAGTTATTGTGTCCCAAAAAGTGTGACAGACAGACAGATGGATGGACGGACAGACAGACCACTTTTAATAAATGGAAACCATCGACTTTGTACAGGTTTTTCACAGATAGGCTTTTAACTATTCAGCCAGTCCTTGTATAAACAATTTTCACCAATCAGATATATCTTTTAATCACATATTTAAATAAATATCACCTAATAATGTATTGTCAGTGATATCACTTTCGTGGAAGCAGATGTTAAATAAAGCTATTTCACACACACACACACACACACAGAGTACACACACCAAGGTTATTGGGGAAGATTATGGAATTGTTTATGGTCCAGTGAATTTGAAGGTCTGATTTATAAAGCCAATAGCTCACACAGTAACTTTACTATGCAAATTATTTTATAATATTCACCAATATAGGATTTTAGCCACAAGATGTAATAGGATGTACTTACCATCACAGTGTGCAGCAACAACTTCTAGTTTATAGCGTGTTTCAGGTGAATTAGAAGTTAGGTTTGTAGAAATATTGATGAGGTTGCCTTTAGGATTGTAAAGTTTTAATATATCGTTAGAACTGGCTTCAGCTGCGGCACGAAATGTTTCTGAAAAAGAAAAAAGGCATAATAAAACACCCAAAACAAGTCTATAGGTCCATCAATATCTCTAAAGTAGGTGTACGTTATATTAGAACTTCGATATTAACGGAATATCATTTCGATCGCAAACTGTTGCTCTATTTATATTAGTAGTATCTAGAGTTTTCAGGCAGGTACATGTCGGTTCTCCCTTTATAGAACTCTTGAATACTGTTTCTCATGTGAACACTAGGTAAATATAAATTAGCTGATAGTGTTTTGATACAAACGTTATTGGTATCACACAGAGAATGAATATCCCCTCTCAAAACTAAATCCATGCCTACTGCATTTCAATGAACAGCATTAGAGTTAATAAAGTTGTTTAAGAGACCCATTTAAAGCTTCACCTAAATGTTTGCTATGTCCATAGGTATAAAAAGTTAATGACACAAAGTCCTGGGGCAATTTCTATTATCAGTATCTAGTATCCATATCTATCTGTGAAAATATCTTTATTGTGTTTGATCTACCACAACATAAAGCCTCAAAGGTTAGTCAAATGTAGTATTTGGCTCAAAATATAGCTTTCAATTAAACAAGACACCTAAGGGTTTTAATCAACAATGAGTTCAGTTCATATTGAACGAATCGTTAAAAATATGAATACCTGCAATATAAATCATTCATTGTAATGTCTTTCAATAAAAGAAAGATATTTGACCATTAATGTTGACTCACTATCTACTCATCCTCCAAGAATAATAATAAGTATAAATAACTTACAAAAGAGTACCGGAATACAGAATCTACACTTACGGTAATCAAATTAGCTACGCCAAAGTAAAGTATTGAATTGGGCTGATCTGATGTGTTATTCTGATATACATGTATGATTAAATCTTTGTTTCGAAAGAGTAAGTAGAAGTCAGCTTGTTTACTAATATTTCACTTACTACCTCGACAGTGGAGTACACAAATTGTATGTATCTCAAGTTTTTCAAAACTTAAAAGTCTTCAGATATAGTCAACACTAGTAGTAGCTTAGCTACGAGAATGAAGCTAGAAAAATGTACAGTTTGCTTATTGAATTCGGACATGAATCACATTGGCATTTTCCAGAAGGAACTATATAGTACTTGTAAAAAATCTATTCTTAGCTGGTAACCTATCATTTAAAATCCTAAAATGGCCTCTTGGTGTCAAGACTCCTTGTATATGTACATACTGATCAGTATACATCAAGTTAAAATATGAATAAACATTATAAAAATACTTTTTGAAATAGGGGTTAAAATCTTAACACGGCTGTATTTCTCAGCCCATGAAACTGAAGTTTCCTTATAAACATGTTTATATTTTCATTGATATGGTTCCAGATTTGTCCAATACATCTGAAGGAAACATATAATGTGCATTTAGAGTAAAGAGCATTTAGACTAAAAAATCAAACAGTTGAGACCTCAAGCTAGAAGAAAAATAAAATTTGCCACTTCTTTATATCAGAATGTAAAACATAAATATATTATGTACCTGTATAATGTATGAGAAACATAAACAGGATGTATATTATGTATATGCTACTACAGGAAACAAGCCCAAGATAAAACTGATGTAAGTACATATACATGTAGTAGAAAAACTGAATACTCCCATATGTACTGAACACACAGTCTTAGTTTAAAAAAAAATCTTCAGGGTTTACATGTCTTCTATATCATCAGGATTGCTTTAAATGAAGTTAAATAATACAATTTCAAAATACTGCAAACAAATTTATAAATTGTCTTTGAATACTAATAAATTTTCATAGAAACCATCTTTTGAGTTGCATCCAAATCAAAAAGCAAATTCTGCACACAATGGAAGACTCCTCGAAGTGTATTTATGGATTTTGAATTTGATTGTTCTTTTAGTCTTGATTGCTACTAAGACTGAGACTTTGAATTTGTTCTTTTATTCTTGATTGCTTTTGAGACTGAGACAAGTACATGTCTTTTTGAATTAAATAAAATTAGTAACACCTATCTTTCAGGATGATAGTCTCAATTGTTCTAACCCAAATCCGTCTGTTCAACAGCAATGAATATTTGTGTATCCAGTCAATGGTCACACGAAAATTATCCACATCCTTCGATTTAAGTTGAGATGAAAATGGCCCTTATCTTGTGTTTGAAGTACAGTGTATTGGTATGAAAATGTGGTGTGAACTCTTGGATTAAGACAGTTTTCCCTATAGTTTAGTAATAGTTATTATAGACAAAGTTCTCCTTATTTTTCTTTGCAATTCACCAGACCTACTCCATAAAGTTGAAAAGTGTAGGTGTTGACAGGAAGAGAGAAGTTGTGTTTCATTGATAAATTTCCTTTCTATCTAAAAAGGAGTTTAAATGGAAGGCTGCAGGGCTGCCGACAACCAGTATCGCAGCACAATTTGCGATACATATTTTGTCCGTTGCTAACAAAGAATTAAAATCTAACGTTTTTGATTCGCAGTTACTGCGAATCATTAATATGCCTGTCATTTTGGATATTGACACAAGAATAATCCACATTTTGAAGACTAGAAGGCTTACTCAACACTTTCAACGTGTAAAAAATGTTGAATAAAATTTTATAAACAAAACTGAATTCCCCGTGTCAGTGTGACATTTTCTTCTCGAACTTCCCAGACACAATACTATATAACACAGGGACATAACTCTATGAATAGGGACTATTAAACCGGAAATAGGGAATCAATTAGTACCACTCACGTTGCGAGACATCAAGTAATTATATCATATTCATTTTGAAAGAAATAAATCCAGTGTATTCCCCACGTATTGTAAATAAAATATAAAAAAATAAATACATGTTAATGTATTGTAAAATGATAAATCAAAGTAAAAATTCACGTAAAATATTATTGTTTATATCGCGTGTGTCTAGTTAATCGAGGTGCGTCCGATTGAACAAAAATAGAAATACACGATAAAAAGCAGACGAAATTGTTTTCTAACGAAGATTTCTAACGTAACAAAAAAATATCAATTAAAATGAGAGGGGCTTCGGAAGTCACTGTCAAGAATTGGCTTCAGACATAAGACCTAACTAAATGTCTACATCACATTCACAAACTGTCACAAGTACTTGTGGCAGTGCTAAAAAATCTAAGAATAGTCAGAATGGAATCTAATCATATTTGTTATGAATTAAAGTAATATCTTGTTATTTAGGTGTTTTACGTTGAAACTAAAAAACCGCTAATCAATTTTTAAATTTGCTAATCAAATTTGGCAAAATTGGACTTTTTGATTAGCAGTGCTGCTAATCAACTGTGAAAAATTACCAACAGCCCTGGAAGGCTGCCAGATATATTATTACATTCTATGGTAGTATTTCCTTTACTATATTCATTAACTATTACCCGGTATATACATGCAAGTACCATATGTCATAAACAACATCAATGATAAAACCATAAATATAATTTACAACAAATAAAATTCAAAATTACATCATACCATTTTAAAGGAGAAATCCCAAAATGTCCAGAAAAAGTCTATTTACTCTGTCTGAAAGTCCAATCTTATGCATATTCCTGAAGCAATGCTCTGAGAAATACCTCTGTAGCATTAAGTGGAATTAGGTTCAATGAAATGAAGTATGTCTTAAGATATTAAGTGTGTTAAAAATGATTGCCAAAAATGTTTATTGGGATTATGCAACTCCTTTTATAGCACTCACCTCCCCATTTTTCATTGAGTGACTTCATTAACAAGACTATTCAATGTGAGTGATATTTGAAATGTAACAAAACCGCAAACCTTATCTAGTTGAAATCCACAAACAAAACTAGAAGTACATGTACATGTATAGCGAGAAGATCTCCCTGTGCATAACATCAGCTTTTTCAAAGTTAATTGTTTGCTAATCACAAAGCATGTCTCCTACTGGCCAATGGTGTTTCAGATAACTGCTTGAGGATAGAATAAAGGGTTCCAATACCCTTCCACCAGTTTTATTTACTGAATTATATCTGGGATTTCTCTTTTTAATGCTTGATGATTTTTTGCTATCACACAACTTGAAAAAATAATGTTTTACACCAGAAAGTATATATTTATCTGTACTTCTAATTGCTCTATCTTGTTCTGTATAATTACACCACTGTGATACTTCATAGACTCTTCAAAGATATCATTTTACATCAGACTATCAGACAGCTTGTATATAATGTTGGAACATAAATTCATCTAAATTACCATTTAGTTGCACTTGCATTTAAATTTGGCCCAATTCTTAAAATAACTGGTGGGCAAGACTGTTTACAACATAAAACCAGACATATCTGAATTACTCTATATAACCACAAGTGAAATGATAATAATGGCATTTGTTGGCAACACCCTGTAATCACATGTATGTATATATGGCTGTTCCAAGATACAATTCTCTTCCAATATGTGCTCTGATAATGTTCAAGTCAAAATTATCAGTGTAATAATTCTGCAGTTACAGCATTCTGAACAAAACATATTAATCGGACATTAATAAATAAAATTGTTGACATTTGATAGGTATTTTTTCACCAATGTGAAATGGATATAAAATTAAAGTATTACTATTTTTACTGGGGTACTTTTATAATGATGTTTCTGATGTTTTTATATGAGTAAAGTGCATCTGGGCACTATGTTTATGTGAATTATGGTGGACCTATACATGTCAAATGCATGTAATTAAATATGTCTTACAAATGTAAAAGCCAATAATTATATTTAATCTTAAGATCCACTTTTAAAAACCAAAAATTAACTTCTAAACTTCTAAGCAGCAAAACACTGATGATGTGTTTAGAAAGTTTCAAGATATCTTGAATAGTTTATGAGATGTGTTCTGGAATAAAAATTGTATATCAAAATCTAAATCAAATGTGTTTCAAAGGAAACACAAATTAAAAATCATTAAATCTCAGAAATTTCTAATTAGCAGAATGCTAATGTTATGTGTACAAACTATCATAGAGATATCTTGAATGGTTT